CCCGCGAGCCCCGCCTCCCTCCCTGACCCCTTCCTCGATGGGCGGGGGGGCCGCTTTGCCCCCTCCCTTCCTGAATTTTGTCGGGTCCTTTTGCCGTCCCTTCTATGTCCCTGCGTTTTTCAGAACTTGGTCGCCCGAGTGCCCAGGAATGGCGACGAGCTTTGTTGGAGAACCCTCTGATAGCCAACTAATGATGGGCGTGTTGGTGTACGCCTGCTATCCCAGCACCCCGGAGGCTGAGGCAGGAAGGAGAAACGCCACGAGTTCGATGCCAGCCTTGGCTACACAGTGAGTTTAAAGCCTATCAAAGCTATCGCGAGACCCTGTCTCAAACAACAGCAACAAAATGAATACTGTACCTAAATTCACTAGATGTCACTTCCAGGCAGAGACCATTACAGACCCCAAAATTAAGGGGTCTTAGAACACACAGGAAAACATTTTTCTTGATGTCCAACGATACTGAACATTTAAAAATATATTCAGTAGCCATTTGTATTTCTTCTGAGAAGTGTCTATTCTGACATTTGTGTATTTTAAATGAATATGGGTGTTGTTTCCCCAGCACCGTTTCAAGAGGCTGTTCCTTCTCCAATACGATTTTGGTACCTTTGTCTAGAATCAGCTGGTGTAGATGATGGGCTTATTTCTGGGTTCTCTATTATTTCCTTGGTCTGTGTTTTTATGCCAATACCTTGCTGTTTTGATTACTTGTAGTCCTACTGGTTCAGCTTCCCAAGTAGCTGGAATTATGGGAGCGTGAAACTACATTCAGTTAATTTTTTTTGAAAACTTTCGGTCATTCCCAGATTGCTTATTTCCATATGAATTTAGAATCAGCCTGTTAATATCTCTAAGTCTGCTAGGAATCTGGTTGGTACTGCTGTCATCTGTACAAACCTATTTGGTGGGAACTCGTGTTCCCATCCGTGAATATATTTCTCAGAGTTTAATTTCTTCTAGCACTACTTTGTAGTTTTCAGGTCATATACATTAAAATTTAGGTAAAATTAATCTTTATGGCTTTGTGTGTGTGTGTGTGTGTGTGTGTGTGTGTGTGTGTGTGTGTGTGTGTGTGTGTGTGTGTGTGTGTGTGTGTGTGTGTGTGTGTGTGTGTGTATACCAGGGATTGAGGTCAGGTCCTCGTGCTTGCAAGGCAGGCAGTGGAACCATTGAGCTAAATCCCTGGCTTTTGTTTTTTATATGGGGGATCGAGCTCCAGTGCTTGCGCTTGCGAAGTATGGCTTTTGGTTGTATTTTTAAAAATTTGAAACAGGGCTTTACTATGCTCCCCAGGCTGGCCTCAAATGCCACACTGAAGTGAACCTCCTGCTTCAGCCTCTTGAAGAGCTAAAAGTACATAAACACTGCTATGCCCACCTATTTTAAACTTTTTCATTATTTGTTGCTATTATATAGAAATCTTATTTTTGTACATTGACCTTATGTACTGACCTTTGTAAAACATAGTTCTAATTACTGTTATGTTCTATGTAAGATTTTTAATGACTGTTATCTGTGAATATGGACATTTACTTCAGCTTTTCTAATTTGTATGTCTTACATTTATTTTGTTTTCCATATTGCACTAGTTGGGACCATAATACCATATGGAATAAAAGTGGTGAACAGACATCCTTGTTTTGTTAACTTTAAGGAGAAAATTCTTTCGTTAGTATGTTTTTGCTGTGTCCTTTGTCAAACTAAATTCCCTTTTATTCCTAGTTTGTTGAGAATTTGATTATGGTATTTTTTGGGGTGGTCTTGTATACCCTGCTCTGGGTTGATTTTCTTGGACCTATGGGTTTATAGTTTTCATCAAAAGCAAAAGAAGTGAATGGCAAGTAATGCAAGTGGATAGAGTGGCTTTGTGTTCAGCATCTAATTTTTTAGAGAAGCACTCCTTTCCCAATCCACTTGGTTTTAAGTAATGATCCTATACCACCCTACTCCAAGACCAAACCTGGTGGGTCATTCAAAGCCCGTTTAAAAGTTCTTTTTGGTTAAATACACTTCTGGGTTAGAAGTATCAGGATGGAGCAAACTGCCTGCAAAGAAAGAGTAAATACAAGAACAGACATGAACTGGAGAAAACCCTGAAGATATTGAGACTCATGATCTAACCATGTGGGAGTAGCTTTATATTTGGGAGTTTTAGTTTTGAGGGTAAATTCTTCTCATGGTAAAATTGAGAATTTGTTGTTGTTTTTTGAGACAGGGTCTCACTCTATAGTTCAGACTGGTCTTAAACTGTATCCCAGCCTGACTGCAAATGTGTCACAATCCTCCTGCCTAAGCTTCCCAGTGCTTAGATTATAAGCATATGCTACCACGCCCAGCTGTTATTTTCAGTTTTGTTCACCTGCAATGGAGTCCTTAATGCCACCCTATGAACTGAGGAAAAAGTAGGGAGATAATATAAATTCACATTTTAAAAAGACCAGTCTGTCCGCAGTGTAAAAATAAAAGGAATAGAGGTCAAACTAGAGGCAGATCACTTAAAGAACTGCAGCCATCCATGTGAAACAGGGTAAGGAAAATGTAAACTAGTCAGACAATTGCACAGATATGGGGGGCAAGCTTAGAAATTAGTACCTAATGGATTTAGAGGGATAGGAAGAATTTAAAGATGATATCCATATTGCTGATTTGTTTAAGTAGATGATGAAGACTCACAGAAAATAAAAAAGGATAAGCAAGAGTACACAGATGGCAAGAAAGAGGGATGAGTTCAGGCATGGCATGCTTTCAAAGTGCTTTGGGAGGTCAGTCAGATGTGGGCTGGACACATGATATGGGGCTCTGGATCCCACATAATTTGATTTCAAAGAGTTAGTCTTCTTCCTGATAGAAGCTGCCAAAAGTATAAAACAAATGACATAGTCTTAAAATAAATGTTTAATTTCAAATATGTTATGCTATAGAAATAAATGCTCATTTGAAATGAAAACAGTGTATTATAACCACTCTAGTATTTGAAGCAGAACAATGAAACTGAATAAAAAATAGCCTTAGTCCTTACAAAATTTTGGATTTAAGAGTCTTATATAACATCAGTCTCATTTATATATGAGAACAAAATTTAGAAGACAAAGACTACAGGACTCAAAAATATTCTGCAGAAAATAGTTTTAAGAGAATTTAAACAGATATTCATAAAGAATTTCTATGCTACGTTTTTGATTGTTTTTTATTCTTTTCCTTCAATGACTGTATGGTTATAATTTTTCTTCTCGTGAATAGGACGAAAAATAATACCAAAGCAGGAAGTACCTAAAGAGAATGAGTAATCTGTGAGATTAAATTCACTATAAAATATATAAAGTAGAGAAATATCTGAACAAGTCACTAGTAAGTAAACTCTAGCTAAAGAAATGTTATACATGGGCAAGGGATTTAGCTCAGCGGTACTGTGCCTGCCTTGCAAGAGCAAGGTCCTGAATTTGATCCCCAGTATAGGGGGAGGGGGAGAAATGTTACATATACATCATATACAAGTCAGGGTCAGTATTTCATACCTTGCACAGCTACTAAAATTGATTTTTCTTTCCTAATCATCCTGCCATATTACAAATATCTATTTAAAATACAACTATAGGAGAGGGGAGAGAGCTATAAAGGAGGGTAATGCGGATGGATATGATCACCTATGTTATATACATGTATGAGGAAGTCACAATGAAACCTAATATTTTGTAAAATACACAGCAATTAAAATACATATTAAAATACCACAACCAATATATTACAACCAAGGCCTTTGGTGCCTTCGGACTGCCCACAATGAATACACTGTTTCACAGAGTATGTTCTAGCAATAATTCCCTACCTAAAAAATTTATTTTCATGATGAAGAAATGTGCTGAGCAATCAACAAATACAAAGTATGTTTACATCATGGATGAAGGCGCCAGATCCATATGGCTGCAAGTGTGACCACTGACTACCAGGATTTTCATCCACAGGAGGCAGAACTCAAGACTGGTTTGATAGACCGTCCAGGTCATTCTTCTGAAGGCTAAAGTTTTAGAAACATTGTTTTAGAAGATTAAAAAAGAGGTCCTGATTTGTGCTCTTACCTCCTGAAGGTATTGCAAATATCTGCTTTGGGGTTGGAATTCTTAAACCCTTTGAAAGTATGCTATGTGGATAAGTGGGATGTTCAGATTTCTCAGACAAGGCAGCCTACAGCCCTTTTAAAAGATATACCTTCAATATTATGAGTAAAGTATATTTAATACATATATTAAAGGGTTAGTATGTAAATGTGCTGAAAGCAAAACTGCAGTTATAGATATGTATTTCTAGCAGAAAATGAGCCACTTATAAATTACAGCATTTAAGCAAGAACATAATTTTAAGAACACATAAAAAATTTAAATTTACAAAATTGATACTCTACATTCAGTTTTTATATTTAAAAAAGGCTAAACTTAAGGAATTAAAAGCTGAACAATATGAGAGGTAGTACCACTCAATGATTTTTTTTAACACTGTATTTACACTAGAAGATTGTAGGAGAACAGGGAGTTCAAGTCTTAAGAGGAAAAAAATGTAGCAAAGGCAATTCTATGACCTTTGGAAAAGTTGTGAAAATTCATCAAAACTGGATTTTAAAAATTGTTACACATGCATGACTGACAGTATACAGAGTGAAATTAATTGTTTTTGGATAGTGGTAAGAAGTCCACAGTTTTACATTTTTTAGCCCTAGTCATTATCACTCTTTTCAGTTCCCTTGCTGCCATGATTCTGGAGTACTTGATTTA